TATTTCGTTTAAAAAAAAGTAGAAGAAAAAACAAATCGTCTATCACAGTGTGGTCGCAAATACGTTGTGTGGTCGCACATGCAAAGTTTGTTCTTTCACCACCATATTACAGGTACATGGCGCCACCATGTCACTTTTTTCATGTCGGGGGGATGGGTAGCACATCCCATCGAAGTGTTTCCAAGTATGTCTTCACGACATTTGCAACATGTGGCCGAGCATTGTCATGTTGAAGAATAACTTTGTCGTGTCTTTGCTCATATTCTGGCCGTTTTTCGCGCAATACTCGGCTCAAACGCTTCAATTGTAATCGGTAGCGTGGCCCATCAATGGTTTCATTCGGTTTCAGCAGCTCATAGTACACCACACCTCGTTGATCCCACCAAATACACAGCATTACCTTAAATCCGTGGATATCTTGCTTTGATGTCGATGGTGCTGGTTGGCCGCGCTTCACATATGCTTTTTTTTGCTTTGAGTTATCGTAGTGAATCCACTTTTCATCACCAGTGACAATACGATGCAAAAATCCCTTTCTTTTCTGTCTTTGAAGCAGCTGTTCGCAGGTGAAATATCGTCTTTCCACGTCTCTTGGCTTCAGTTCATGTGGTACCCAATTTCCATGCTTTTGAATGAATCCTGCTGCTTTCAAACGTTGTGAAATGGCTGCTTGAGTGACTCCCAATGATTTTGCAAGTTCTTCTTGAGTTTGACACGGATCTTCATCGAGTAATGCCTACAATTCTTCATCTTCGAACTTTTTTTCTCTTCCGGCACGCTCCTTGTCTTCGACATTAAAATCACCATTTCTGAAGCGTGCAAACCAACGCTGACACATTCTTAAGTCTATAGCATAGTCAGGATAAGCTTCAGTGAGTAAACGATGTGCTTCAGATGCGTTTTTCTTCAAATGGAAAAAGTAAATTAACACTTCCCGCAAATGATCTTTTGATACCACGAATGTCGACATTTTCACCGTAATAAAAAAATTTTGTGTGTAAACTTGTGTTCATTGTGACAGATGGTTTTTAATAGATTTTTTGACGCTCTTTAAGATACAATAGCTGTCAATGTCAAAACAATGGTACATATAATTGATGTGAAGTTAGATACGAATGCGACATTATATATTTATACTTCCAATATAATGGTGCTCTTTGTCAATCGCTATATCATTTGTTTCTCTTTTGGAGTATTTACTTGTATTTACTTGTATTTAGTATAAGTTCGAAGCGGTTATGTATTCTGAATGCATACGTTTGTAAAATAAACTAAATGGCATTTGATAAATGCTAATGATTTTTGTTTACAAGATGATTTTGAGAAAAGAATGTTGTACTGTTCTTGCCAAAAGGCGCGTAAAGTCCATAAGAAACAATGTAAATTGAATTGAAAACAGCATACGCACTGCTCTCTGGCATTTAAAAGTTATACTTGAAATCTAATAAACATACAGGTGTGTCAAAAATTTTCGGGCCTGACATATAGACGGCACTAGTTACAAATTGTTCATGTGCTGTAATTGAAGTACGAACTGTCAACAGTATTGTGTAAAAAAATTGAGTTGATATCTGTCATCGTTTGTTTTCTACAACATTATATATCAAGCAACTTCGATATTTTCAGAAAAATGGATAAAATCGAATATCGAGCGGTGATTAAGTTTTTCACAAAAGAAAGTATAGCACCAAAAGATATCAATGACCGCTTACGTGCTGTTTATGGTGAACTTGCTCCATCGTATACGAGGGTCAAAGAATGGGCAAAGCAATTCAAGTGGGGCAGAGAATCATTGGAAGATGATCCACATACAGGTCGGCCAGTTGAAGCAACTGCTCCAGATGTGGTGGAGAAACTTGATCATCTCGTGCACGAAAATTCTCGAATGAGCAAGAAAGTGTTAGCAGCAATGTTTGACATCTCAACTGGCAGTGTATTCAATATACTTCATGAAAAATTGCACATGAGAAAGGTTTGCTCACGATGGATTCCAAGAACTTTGAACAGAGCTCAAAAAGAAGAACGAATTACTGCTGCACGTGAGTTTCTCGAGTTGTTGGAATGGAATGAAGAGGACACATTTGAGCGAGTAGTGTAACTACTAACAGTGTACTGTATTCTGGGATGCCAAAGGCATAATAATAGTTGAATTCCTCCCAAAGAACAACCACAGTCACGGGCTATTTATATGCACAACAGATGCAAAGATTGCGTTAAGCAATCATAGAAAAACGTCCTGGTTTGCTGACTCGAAAAGTTCTTCTTTTGCAGGACAATGCACCGTCTCACAAATCATTGCTCGCACAAGGCAGCTGCCATCAGGGAATGTGGGTTCGAACAACTCCACCATCCACCGTATTCTCCAGATATGGCCCCCAGTGACTATTTCCTGTTCCCAAACACCGAAAAATATCTGAAGGGGAAGCAATATGAGTCCGAAGAAGAGATATCGAACGATTTTTTCAACGTATGGGAGGACAGAGATGCCAAGTGGTTTGAAGGAGGAATTAAAGCATTAAAGCATCGTTATGAAAGTGTCATTCGTGTTCATGGAGACTACTTTGAATAATAAATATAGTCATTTGAAAATACAAGGTGTGTTTCTATATCAGGCCCGAAAATTTTTGACACACCTGTAATGAAAAAGATAAAAAAAACATTTGTTGCCATAGAAAAGTATTGAGAAATTTGGCTTTCAAACCGAGCAATTGCTCTTGGAATATTCATAACGCGATTACAAATTTGCACTATTTGTATACTCGTTCCCGGTTTGATCAGTTTTTGAATCCTATAAAAAATGTCGATGTTTGAAAATCATTCTTATTTCGAAAACATTGGAATACTTGGTTAAAAATAGTTTTCGTTGCACTTAGATTGTCGCGCTATATGTTTATGTTTTTAAATACAGGGTGGGGCATATAATAGGCTCACTCTTAGGGGGTGGGAATT